TTTCCAGACCTCTACCACACTCTGAGCCTTCCTGACTCCCCGCTGCCCTTTGAGATCCTATAATTCCTTTGGGTCCAGCTCAGGTTCTACTTTTTTCATGAAGCCTTTCCACATTTCTTTATTCTTTTTCAGAATAGCTGTTCCTTATAGGGTGTTTATTTGGATGTTTTACTGAATGAAAATGACATGTTGCTGAAATTACCTAAAATTTTTAAAATGTACTGTCTGAATCAATTTTTTATTTATTTCTGGGATTATAGCCTAAGAATCCCAAAACACCAATTCAAAAGAACCTATGCACCCCAATGTTCATAGCAGCACAATTTACAATAGACAAGTATTGGAGACAACTTAAGTGTCCATCAGTGAATGAGTGGATCAAAAAACTATGGTACATTTACACAATGGAATACTTTGTGGGAGAAAGAAAGAAAGAGCTACTACCCTTCACAGTGGCATGGATGGAACTGGAGAGCATTATGCTAAGTGAAATAAGCCAGCGGGTGAAAGAGAGATACCATATGATCTCACCTGTAAGTGGAACCTAATAAACAAAACAAACAAGCAAGGAAAATATAACCAGCAACATCGAAAGAAAAAAGAAATCAACAGAAACAAAAGGGAAGGAGGGAGGAGGGTAGCGGGGAAGGGAAGGGGAAGGTTCAAATCAAGGAACATGTATGAAGGACACATGGATGGAGCCAAGGTGGGGAGGGATTGAGGGAGGGAGGTGAGGGTGGAAGGTGTGGGGAAAAGTACTGGTGGGTAAAAAAATTTACATTTACATAATGGAATTCTATTCAGCCATAAAAAAAGAGAGAAATCTTACTATTTCTGACTGCATGGATGGACCTGGAGAGTATCATGCTAATTAAAATAAATCAGTCAGAGAAAGAAAAATACCATATGATTTTGCTCATATGTGTGATCTAATGAACAAAATAAACTAACTAACAAAATAAAAATAGACTCATAGATACAGAAAACAGACTGACAGCTGTCAGAGGGGAGGGGTGTTGGGGGACTGAGTGAAAAAGGTGAAGGGTCTAAGCAAAAACCTCTTAGACACAGACAGCAATATGGTGATTACTAGAAGGAAAGGAGGGTGGGGGGAAATAGAAGAGGGTAAAGGGAAGATAAATGGTAATAGAAGAAGACTTAAGGTGGTAAACACATAATACAATATACAGATGATATATTATAGAATTTTACACCTGAAACCTATATAATTTTATTAACCAATGTTATCCTCAATAAATTCAATAACAAATAAAGAAATAAATTTTTTTAACAGTAATTCATGTTCCAGGATAACATATGGGGGAAAGGTTTGTGCTTAAATTGATGAGGGCAAAGAAGTAAATTTTCTTGATAATATTCCATGTGGTAATAATGCCATTTAGGTTAGGGGAGCCTCTTGTTGAAGTTTAGAAATGTTTGCATTTAAACAGCATTTGAGGTGGATGCACATTCCACTTCTGCCCCAGAGTTTTAGGTCATCAAAACTACCCTTTCTTCTACCTGTGGCACAGCCATCAGGCATGGCAGTGCAGAGGCTAGAGAAGGGCACCATCTGGCCAGGTGTTTTCCACTAGTTCTGCTGCCTCATAGTATTACCTGGGACCAGGTAATTCCTCAGAATTCCTTTGTGAAACCACTTAGTGTTGCTTACATATATTGCTTATTGGCAACATGGTCTTCCCTCTGGTATTTTACATTCAGAGATTCAGCAGATTTGTTTTCAAAGCCAAAATCAGATTTGTTCTCAAAGCTAAGTTTCCTCAGAGTCTAGTTAGCAAAATTCAGGGTTGAAGGTTGTTGCAAAAGTGAAATCAACTGCAGGCCTTTGGCACATTGAATTGGCTTTAGGTCGGGCTGGGGGGTGGCAGTACAATTCATGCGTAAGGGAGAACAGGACAGTTTGTGCATAAGGAAAGCTTTAATTTGAGTTTATGATAACAAGTTAGGGCTACTAAGTCCTTGTGAGTTGAACTCTAAATAAGTATACCTTTGCCAAGATCTGCCAATTCTTTTCGAAAGGAGCGTATTGAAGCTATGATTTTAACTCTTGGTTGAAGAGCTATTTCTTTTATGTAACTGGTAAAAATTTACTATAAAATGGAAATCTTTTTGCTAGTTCAGTGTTGCCAGGGCCTTGCGTTTTATCTTTTGCAACAGTATGCCAATGACTAAATATCTTCACTGCAGTATTATAGTAATATTAAACAGAGAAGCTGAAAATAGACATCAGTGAATGAATGGTTGATATTGGGTTGGCCAAAAAGTTCATTTAGTTTTTAATGTACGATGGTTCTAGTAGTGCTTTGTTGTTTTTAACTTCATCCAAAACAATTTTGTTAGGTAGTATTGTGAAAGCTGTCATATCAGCGTGCGTTTAAAACAACATATCAAAATTGGTGAATTTTTGTACAGACATTTTAATATTGAAGATGAAAGAAAATACACAACATTTTTGGTGTATTATGCTTTATTATTTCAAGAAAGATAAAAACACAACTGAAATGCAAAAAAAGATTTGTGCAGTGTATGGAGAAAGTGCTGTGACTGATCGAACATGTCAAAAGTGGTTTGTGAAGTTTCTTGGTTTGTGAAGTTATTGTTATTTTGGCCAAATAATTATTTGCTGTGAGGCTGTCTTATGCATTGGAAGATGTTTAGCAGCACCCCTGGCCTCTACCCACTGAAAGGACATAGCAGGATATAGCCAACATGTTCAAAATATCCAAATCAATAAAATTATCAATGAAAATGAAGAATGTGTCTTTTATTTTACAGAGAAAACTAAATGGACTTTTTGGACAATCCAATACAACCTATTGTAGGATATTGTTCAGGGACTAAAAAATGAAGTCCGTCTGTATGTAGAAATGTGAAGAGGACCATAGCATTTTGTTGGGGGGGGGAGCAAGATGGAAAACAACATATTGTGCTTCAATTTATTGTGCTTCATAGTATGTTGCGATTTTTACAAATTGAAGGCAAGACCTTCCACCAGCAAAAAGATTATGACACACTTTATTGCAATATTCACTTTATTATGTCAGTAGTGGATGGTCTGGAACTGAACCTAGAGTATCTCTGAGGTATGCCTGTATACAATAATCTATTTTTGTTTGAGAAAACATAATGTACATGTACACAGAAGGTACTTAATAATAATGTTAGGTAATATTTATCAAATTCTTATTTTGTGTAGCACTATGATCATTATTCACCTAAATGACGTAATTTAGTTCTCACAACACTTAGGAGTTAGGTAATTGTTTAATTGTTTTCCAGATGAGGAAACAGCAGCCTGGAAAGGTTATGAAGCCCGCCAAGGGTGCATACCAGGTTAGAAGCAAAACTGGGACTCCAGCCTGGAGCCTGGACTCCCAGCACCATGCTTGATGTGCTTCTTGTTAACATTTATCTGCCGAAGGATTATAAGCTTGTCTAGCATTTATTTAGTAGATATGTCATATGAGACTCATACATGAGATGGGTACTGAACTGAGTGTCTTCCAGACCCTTCCCTCACTCTGAGTTTGTGTCCAGCTACAAAAGCCTTCTGAAAGTATGACTTCTCTGTACAGAACATCCCCCCTCCCCTGCAGTGCCTGTTCACCCCATGATGCTATTATTCATTTTGGAATTCAGAGGGTAGTTAGGTTGCTTTCCTTTCAGACTTCTTGCTACCTTGATGAGTACTTGATACTTAAACTTCATCTTGCTCTTAAAACATATTTATAACATAATGGCTACAGTTCTGTTAGGATAACCTCAGTATGTAGTTCACATTAAACATTAGCTCATATTGCCTCCAAATTTGGAACAAATGTACCCAGAAGAAATTTACAAAGGGGCAGCAATGTTGAAATAGTTTAAGTGCAAACAGGAGAATTTCTGTGTGCTGACAAAGGACCAGGCTATATCGTCTAAAGTCTCTATTTGATTCCTCATTTTTCCATCCCATATCAGGGTCTTTCCCTCTGAACTTTCAGCAGTCTGAGCGTTCCAGCTCACTCACTGTTAAATGCCTCAGATAAAATACATATATGTACAATTTCTTACTTTATCTATAAAGAGGTCACTTCAATGTGGTTTTGGTTGCTGCCTGCTGATCAGTTGTCAAAACTCAAGAATTGGAGCCCCAGAAAAAAAAATTTTTTAATGTTCATATTTTAAGTACAGGGAGGATTTGGTCACCAGCATTGTTAGTTGGAATTATTACATCCTACCTTTTGCTTCCCACAGTCCAACATTTGATGCATCACGTTTTGGTTGATTACTTTTTATTACTTTCTAGTGATTTCTCCACCCACTTGCATTTTCTATGATCTCAATTCTCTATTGTTCATTGGGCCTAAGGATGCTGCTAGATCTGAGAGTAGGGGAGAATGAAGGGAGAAATGCTGTCATTTAGTTCATGAATTGCTTAAAGATATAATCCTGTTTATTTTTTTTGATCAAAACAAAAATAATGTAAGAGTTATCTGAGTAGGATGTTTATCAAGTATATAGGGCTGAATATATAGATGTTTAATTTATCCTTTGGATACTTTGGGGAACTAACTCTGGCAATTTCCCGCAAGAGCCCTTTCAAAACAAACAAACAAAACCGTTGTTCTCTGTAATAAAGCCCAGATGCTTTTTAAACACCTTGCTTCTTATTGTGATTGACAGCATCATAGAGAAGTTGACAGCTTAGGTGATTTCTATTAGCAGAAAAATGTGGACTCAAAAGCTTTTCCTTGAAGATGAATCTGTTGTGTAACATCTAAGCAGACTCAAGAGTACAGGTGCATGCTCTTGCTCTGAGAAGGTGGAAGAAGGGAAAGAGCCCAGTCCAGACAAGGTGTGGGGGAGCAGGGGAAGCACCCAAAGGCAGAGGCCATCCTGTGTTGCCTAACCATATTTCTGGAAAAAGAGTTTCTTGCTGCTTGTTTGTATCAGTGAGTAACCACAGGCCCCCACCCTCCAACATGGGATGTTAACCTTGGAACAATATGGACATTTGCTGCAGAGCTGAAGGAGAGACCCAAAAGAGCTTCCATTTTGCAGAAACTATACAGCCTTCTTCCCCATACATTGACCAGATGCTAAGGCTTAGGAAATTAGAGCTAAAGACTGAAATTCCTCAAGGTAAGAAGACTTCCCCCTCCTAGGAAATGGACTCCTCCAATTTTCTCACATGATTATGCAGGCACTTTCACTTTTCCATATATAGGAGTCACCCAGGAGCAAGCTCTGACCAGTCGAAGGGAGTGACACATCCACATTCAGTCCCTCCCTTCTCACTCCTCCTCACCTTACTCTCGAATGCTCACAGGCAGTTAGGCAGAAGTGCACCCTGTGGTTCTGCCAGAGACAAGCCTGTTGAGTTTAAAGAAGAAAAAAAGACAAAGTAATAGCCTTAAAATTGGTGCTTTGAAGAAGCTGAGAGGAGAACTGTGAAAAGATGAATGGACCAGTGGATGGCTTGTGTGACAATTCTCTCAGTGAAGAAGGAGCCTTCATGTTCACATCAGAATCTGTAGGAGAAGGACACCCAGGTAAGGAGGTTGTATGGGACCGAAGGTGACCTGCACTGAGTGAGTGGCTTTTACTAGAGGTCTTAAAACAGTTTGTGTTAGTTTCTATAAGGGATCTCTGGAGGAGCAATATGAAGTATTTTTACTCTATTTGTAGTTTTGTAAAACAGTCACTCATACGCAAATGATGAATTGTAAGTTAATGAAGCTGAGGGTTCATGTTGCCACCATCATCGGCATCTCAGCGTAGTGGGGCTGTGACAAAGAGCATGCAGCTCGTTGTCAAAAGGTAATTATAGACATAAAATGTGTCATCAGATACAAACTTTTGTATATTTTTTGAGTAAATCTTTAATTTATTATCAATGAGCAACTTAAGTCAACAGAAAAGATTCCCTCAAACAAGATCGTGGGTCCCTAAGTTTTTCGTGTAAAACATATATAGTGTATTTATTTATTTATCTTCATTCTAGGTCATTGTTTCATTGCTTTTAGAGAGAGGGGAAGGGAGAGAGAGAAACGTTGATGTGAAAGAGAAGCGTTGATTGGTTGCCTTCTAGTATGCATCTCAACCAGGAATCGAACCCTCAACCTTTTGGTTACATGGATGACACTTCAACCAATTGAGCCACACTGGCCAGAGTCAAATGCATATATAGTTTAGGAATGAATGGTAGTGCATTCTAATAGGTATTGAGATCGATCTCTAGGTTCTGGAAGTCTCAGATACGTTATCTAAGGGAAGTACAGATGACTTCTTGAAGAGGAAGAAAATTCAAGATTTTGTTTTGGCACCTGAAAGGTAGAGGGACTGTGATGTGGGGACATGAGAGAGGCTTCTGTGGTGACAGTGAAGACCATGATCAGAGCCCCAAGTTTTAGAAGAGTGGTCGTCAAACTTCAGAGAAAAATGTGAGTGTTGGGCCCCACCCCCAAACTTTCTGACTTAGTAGGTCTTGGGTGAGGCTCAAGAATCTGCATTTTTAATAGGTTCCTAGGAGATATTGCTGCTGTTGGTGTGGGAAACACACTTTGAGAACGATTGTTCTAGGAAAACCCTGGGGGCTAGTCAGACTGATTTATCTATTTAAGTACTTCTTCAAAATTCATTTGAGTAGTTGAAGTTTTTGGTAACTTACCACCAAGTCTACGTTTTTTCTTCACCCTCCTCATTCTTATTCTTTCTGAAAGCAATTTAATTTTTGTACCTTGTAACTCAGCTTTAGACATGTCGAAATACACTACTCCTTCCATATGCTTTAGCCAGTGGTTCTTAATGGGGGCAATTTTGTCTCTCTCCCCCTGAAGGCATTTCAAAATGCCTAGAAATATTTTTGGTTGTCACAGTTATGGGAGGGGGTTGATACAACCATTTAGTGGGTAGACACTGGACATGTTTCTAAACATTCTACGTACACAAGACTATCTCCCCACAACAAAGAATTTTCCAGCCCCAAGGTCAATGGTGCTAATGTTGAGAAACCTTGGGTTTTGTATATGACTTAGCTCAATTCAATGTAAATAATCTCTTTTATTATGCATAATTTTATAAAGTTCCTAGGTTCATCGTGCTCATAACCTCAGATCCATTGCTATGTCTGGAAAATTCTGGACAGCTCACTGGCTTTTGAGGGCCATGTATAGGTTGGGATTTACTCCACTTAGAGGAAGTGGGTGTTTTGGCATGAAGTGGCCAGTGGTCCCATGGTACACACAGCAATGTGCTCAATAGATAGAGAAGGAAAATTCCAGCCAATGAGTTGGTTGTTTTCTCTATTGGATGGCAGACCTTCAGTTTGTCTGATTCTCCTTTCACTTGCCACTAAAAATTAACTGTCCACATAACTAAGTTAGTTTTCACTAAGGCTTGGTGACTTTCTGCTTTAATTCCAGTGCTAAATTCCTTTCCACCTAAAATATAAAATTAATGCTTCTTTTTCAACTTCTAAAAAAAACCAACTATTGGCTATCTTAAGGCTACTAAGTGATAATGATAAAAATTTCCAAAGCCTAAAGAAACAGTTCTGAAGGGCCTCCTTAGATGTTGTCTTAGTCTGCCAAGCTATCCTGTTACTCTTGCTCAACACTAGCTTTATCCCTAATATCCCCTATCCCATTTCCCTGTGTGCACTGGGGCCATATGACATGTGTCCTTTAAATAAGCAGAGTCATCATGATCAGCATGTGAGTAGCTCCTAAGAGTCCTGATGGGTAAGCCTAAGGTGGGTATTTGAGCAGCAGGAGGCTTTTATTGGTAGAGGAGTGCAGAGAATATGGACTCAGACAAACTTAGATTTACAACCAAATCTCCCATTGCAGGATAGATAGAAAAACTCAAATGTGTGGTTTCTTTTTTCATTTTTTATTTTTTCAATTACAGTTGACATTCAATATTATATTAGTTTTAAGTGTACTGGTTAGACATTTGTATAGCATACTAAGCGATTGCTCCAATAAGTCTAGTACCCATCTGATACCATATATAGTTATTACAATATAATTGATTATATTCCCTATGCTATAATTTTCATCCCCATGTAAAGTAACTATCAATTTGTATTTCTTAACCCCTATCCCTTTTTCACCCAGTACCCTAATCACAACCATCAGTTTGTTCTTTGTATCTATGAGTTTGTTTCTGTTTTGTTTGTTTATTTTGATTTTTAGATTCAAGATATTAGTGAAATCACATGTTTTTGTCTTTCTCTGTCTGGCTTAGCATAATACCCTCTAGGTTCAACCATATGTTTAATAACTGTCTGGAAGGAAAAATTGGGGAATTCACCTTTAATGACAAATTAACATTTTTAATTATAAAACTTATTATGTGCTTTGAGAGAACTGCTTGATTCTGGATTTTAAATTCTTAATTTAAAAACTTAAAAAATAAGAGAAACAGAAGGAAACTTTCAGAGGTGACAGATATGTTTATTACATTGACGTGGTGATGGTAACATGAGTGCATATGTACTTCCAAACTCACCAAATTGTATACGGTAATTATAGGCAAAGTTTTCATAGACCAATTATATCTCAATAATTCTGGAATAAATTAATTCTTATTAATTTATTAAGAGCAGACTCTGTGGATATTTTGACCACTAAATGAATGTAATATGTGTAAATAGATGTCACTTTTATTTCTGAATTTGTGAACATTGACTGTTCACATAACCCCAGAGCAAGAGCAGACTTTTCCACAGTGCCATTGAGTGGTCTACATGCTCAACCATGTACAGCCTTTAAGGCAAATACAGAACAAGGTCAAATACCAGCTCATGCTGAACTCTTAGTACCACCTTGATTGACTGAGGAAGTCAAACCCAGCTGTTAGACCACCTAGGCTTTAAGGAGGCTGAGTGACCATGGGAGGATCCGCGAGCTGCTTGTAGAAATGTTCTGCAAAACAGCAATGATGTACAGAAGTTCTCTCATAGTGTCCTTCTGGGTGGAGTTGTGGGGCCAGGTGTGGTGTTTTACAACCATGCACTACATCTTGTGGAACCTGCAGTACAATGCATCTGCTTGTTCCTTCTGATTTTACATCTTGGCCCCTAATTTCACTGACATTATTAGTTACTTTAATTTATATATCCAGGACTTTTCTAGATGTTAGAATTAAAGGGAGTATGTTGAGGAATGAGACACTTTTTAGTTTGAAGAATGTGTATGTGTGTGTTTCTTTTTTTTTTTTTGAGAATTTTATGATTTTATATATCATACAGAAGTAGGCAGAAACAGGAAGAAATTAAGATTTCAAAAAAATTTGTAACTTACATTAAAAAAAAATGTCCTCTTAGGTAGATTTGATAAGTACGCTGACAAAGTACTTGATTGATTTAACATTAAAGTTTCTTGTACCTAATATCTCTGTGATTCTTACACATGTCCATTCCTTTTCAGATAAGATCTGTGATCAGATCAGTGATGCAGTGCTAGATGCCCACCTCAAGCAGGACCCCAATGCCAAAGTGGCCTGTGGTAAGAAATGCCTGAGCCCTCCTGCAGGAGACCTAAGTCACTGAGCTTGAACCTTTTGCTTGTGTTGAAACTTTTACCACAGCAGAGAGTCAGGAGAGCCACAAGGGTGATTAAATCTAGTCCTCACACGTTACTAAGGGGGTAGTGGATACAGTTGAATCAGGCTCTTGGTCAAGGTCACAGCTAGGCGTGTCCACTATGGAGACCCCTGGCAGCCCCACCCTCTTCACTATCGGTGCCTTGCCCAGTCTGCTGCACAGAGCACTCTTTCCTTCTCCAGTGCCATCCTAGCCCTTGGATAAGGATTAGGGCCTTGTGCCTCTCTGAGGTTAGACTTCACTCTAGCATCTTTGTAAAGAGCTGGAGAGAAGGTCGGCCTGCCTTGATTTCTTGCTCAGGATCTCACTCCCTAAATCCTACAGTGGAGTCTTAGCAGTAAGGGGGTGGAAGAGCTCCACATATGCAGAATGCATTCTTTATGATAACTACATACAATCATTGTCTCATTTTAATCCCCACTGCAGTCTTATTATTATTATTTTCATCTAACAGTTGACACAGACTAAATAAGTTGGACAAAATCACACAAAGAGTAGGTACTCGGTATGAAAACTCAGGTGTAACCAATTCTTTCCAAAATGTAGTTCTCCAGGCATTTGAAGATGGTCAGCAACTGTGCTGGAATTTACTCTTTTTATTAGCATTATTTTCTATCTGGAATCCATTCCTGGTAAGGTTCTCTATGAGTATCTTTATCAGAACTTCTGGCACATGGCCACTACCTTTCCTTCTTCCCTTCCAGAGACAGTGTGTAAGACGGGCATGGTGCTGCTGTGCGGGGAGATAACCTCCATGGCCACGGTGGACTACCAGCGGGTGGTGAGAGACACCATCAAACACATTGGCTACGACGACTCTGCCAAGGGTAAGGGCAGGAGCCCCGGGTCTGAATATGTGTTGGTCTCTGCTGAGAGAGCCCCAGATGCTGAGTCACACTGGAGGCTGTAAGTCTTCTGAAAGTGCACATACCACCTGGGTGAAAACATCCCTAGGTCTGCCTATCAGGGACCAGGGGTTGAAGTCTCCTGCAACAGAATGGCAGACCAAGTAACAGTGCCCCAATGAACCAGCCTGTGTCCATCCATTTTTAACTCTGGTCTTGTGTAATGTCCTGCCTTCTTGGAGCTTTCGAAGGAAAGAAGCTGCAAGTAAAAGGAGCTGCCCTCTGTTGGGGTCTTCTCTTCTGCTGGGTTCTGGTGATGCCATCACATGAGCTTTGCACATGCCATTTAACTTCACTGTGTGAGGGACTCTGCGGGGTACTTCTTATGCAGATAGGGAAATTGAGGCTTAAAGATGTAAATAAGTTACTTAAGGTGATACAATCAGTACAGTACGTGACTTCCCTGTTTGGGACTCTTGTGCTTTCTGCTCAACTGTGCTGCTTTATGTTATAGACAAGATGATAACAATCCAGGTCTAGTACTGATAGTGGGCAAAGGAGGCAGGCTGGCCCAGGTTGGCACCAGTGGTAGGCAGTGTGGAAGCCTACCATCCAGGGAAGGGGCACAGGCCCTTGCAGGAATGCAGGAGGAGCTCTATGGTCAGGTGCAGGCAAGAGCTGGAAAGAACAGAGGGCCCTACCAGTGGGCGGGCCAGGGAGGGGCCCACATGGAGGGCATAAAAGGACAGGGGCAAGGGCAAGATGCTGGTGGTCTGTGCACACTGACATCCCACGTACTTCTTGTTTAGGGTGACATGTGGCAACTTTTTGGGTCAGGGCAGGCTGGAATGATGTGCCACACATTTATTAGTGAAAGAGCCACTCACCGTGTGAGGGCACAGATATGTGCTTGGTGCTGCCAGCTTCTGACTCACCTGAATACATGGAAGTGTTGAGTGTTATACAAGAATCACTAGAAAGAGAACCAGTGAGTGCAGGTCAGTTCTCCCAGTGAGGACATGGGGCATTCATATAGGAAACACTGTCCTAGAGCAGCAGCTTCCTGACATGTGACCATGCTGAGCCTTAACCCTATTCTACCATATATTTAGACCTTATTCAAGAGCAAACTTTGTTCTGTGTTAGGTATCAGGCAAATTCCCCAGGAGGTAATAGTCCTAGGCCTAGAAAGGATGAAGATCGGCTGATGGCTAACATTTCCATGTGCTGAGCTGGTCAGTGTGCCTGCACCAAAAAGACCCCATACGCTGCCTGGGTCACTGTAGCAAGGCCACAGGCTCACTGCTCCTCACGGCTTTGCTGCTCAGCCCCTGGGCTCACTGCCCTTTCCAGTCCCTGTCTCTCCTTTGAGTCCCCTAAACTCTGTTTTCCAAACCACATGAGGGCCTTGACTGATTTTTAGAATTAAGAAGATTCATTATTTAGACAGAGTGATTAGACAAAATGTAAAATGTTTGATGCAAAATTGGTGAGTCCTTGGCAGCTCTCTTAAGGTTGTCCATTGGTTTGTGCCTTCAAAAACATTCACTGGGAGCAGGAGGCAGCAAAGAATAGAAGTGATCTGATGCTCCCAGAGTAGGGACACTGCCTGGCATCAGATGGTACAGCACGAGGTGCCCAGCAGGGAGTTGGTAGCAAAGCCAACAAGGAAGAGCTGTGGGAGGGTCCAGAGATATTGACTGAGAGCCATCTGATTGGGGTGTGTGGGGATGGGGAATCGGAGGAGGAGCATTCTAGGTAGAGACCTGATGGAGGTAGAAGAGTATGTTGCCTTTAAGGCTACACCCAAGTTCTTGTTGGCTGACAGAGTCCAGCTGGCAATGGCTGGGCAGAACTGAGGAGTTCAGGTTTACTTGATTGGGCAGTAGGTCCTCACTTAAAACATGTGCATAAGTTGGATCTGAGTTTTTTGGTTTGTTTGTTTTCTTGCTTCAGTTAGCCCACAGTGGCAGCAATGATAGGAGAATAAACTGGAAAAAAAGGTACCAGTTAGTCAGCTTGTCACTAATACTTGACCCTGTGGTGTGGCCCCTGTTTTCTTTAGCTCCTCATTCACACAGTCCCTAACCTGAGACCTGCACAGTTGGAGGACCAACAGGAAGAAGAACATGCAATCTGTGTACAACACTCCCTCCTGGGGTACCTTGGGCTGGTCTGCTGTGAGCCCAGACTTCCCTGACCCCGTGTCCAGCCTGCTGCACCTGGTCTGGGCAGGACCAGCTTCCTTTCCTGTACCTGAGCTATGGCGGTGGGCAAACAGGGCCTCAGCCTCCAGAGGTGTGCTTCTTCCCTTTGGCTCAGAATCACATCTCAGAATCAGAGGACTCTGACTCTAGGAGCCTCTCTGAGTAGTTCATGTACACTTTATTTGTTTGGTATGTTTAATACACATGTTCCTTGAATTACAATGGGGTAACATCCTGATAAACCCTTCATAAGTTGAAAATATCATGTCAAAAATTCATTTAATATACCTAACCTATGAACATCACAGTTTAGCCAGCCTGCCTTACACGTACACTTATGTTAACCTGCAGTTGGGCAAAATCATCTAATGCAATGACTACACTATACAGTGTGGGTTGTTTACCCTCATAACCATCTGGTTGACTGGGATGGAGGCTTGCTACTTTTGCCCAGCTTCATGAGAGAGTATATCATACTGAATATTGGTAGCCCAGGAAAAGATCAAAATTCAAAACCTGAAGTATGGTTTCTATTAAATACATATCACTTTGGCAACATTGTAAAGTTGGAAAATCCTAAATCAAAGTATTGTAAGTCAGGGACTGTCTGTACTTGGATTTGGCTCATATCTGGGCCTCCAAGTGACAGTATTGGAAGGGCCCTGGGTTTTCATTCAGTTTAGTGATTTTCAACCTGGGTCCTGGGAGGTGCCTGTGGGAGAGACCAAGAGGGCAGGGCCATGCATCACCCACCTTCTCATCAGCCAAAGCACCTGTAGCTATTATCTGGTTTGTATGTATATAGCAGTTCTGTGTAAGATATAATTTCTAATCAAGGTATAATTTAATCCAGTAAAATGCACAGTAAAGAATTTTCTCTAACTAAATAGTTTTACATCGTGGTAAGGATACATGACCTGCCCCATTCTGGGTGTCGGCTCTGGACCCTGGCAGATCCCAGCTGGTTAGAGGCCACCTCTGCAGCGCTAAATGCCACATCAGGAAAGGAGCAATCGACCAGGAGGTTCACAGCCACTCTATGTTGGAACACGTGTTCCCACTCAGGCCTGTTTTCTCTTCTGTCTAGGCTTTGACTTCAAAACCTGCAATGTGCTGGTTGCTTTAGAGCAACAGTCCCCAGATATTGCCCAGTGTGTTCATCTAGACAGAAACGAAGAGGATGTTGGTGCCGGAGATCAGGTAACTGAAGACTGAGCATGGGCTCTGCTGGGTCAGGATATCAGTGCAGTGCAGCCTGTCTCAACTCTGGCTCCGACATGTGCTGGGAAAGTTCCTGAACAATGGGTGAATCGCACTGTGGGGCGACCCCTCATCCTACAGGATCACAGGGAGGCAGATACCTAGAGTGAGTTGCACACCCCTACGTCAGGTCAACGACTTGAGAGCCCAGCTGTGGCTGTGGAAGGCTTTGATCGCTGGTGCCAATTTGAGCTCATCTTCCCCTTGTAGTGTTTTGGGCATCAGGAACTATGCCTTCCACTCCATAAGTGCCCAGTGCAAATGTTGCGTGTATGAGGCATCCCATGTAGTTTGGAGTCCAGCAAAGTTTTGAATTTGAAGAAAGTTGTCCTGTGTCTAAAGTGGGTGTTGCTCAGTTGGCTCTCTCCCTTGCTGCAGGGTTTGATGTTTGGCTATGCCACGGATGAGACAGAAGAGTGCATGCCCCTCACCATCATTCTTGCTCACAAGCTCAATTCCCGGATGGCAGAACTGCGACGCTCCGGGGTGCTCCCCTGGCTGAGGCCCGACTCAAAGACGCAGGTGAGTCGCTCCCTTTCCCTTCTTTGGAGCTCCAGGCTTGCACTTTAGGCATACCCCTGATCCTCTTGGTTCTTGTTCCTGTTAAGATCAAAATGTTCACTCTGGATACTCAAAGAATTGTTGATTTTGCAAATAACTATTTATTTGAAAAACCTTTAGCTCTAGATGTTTTCTTCCCTCATTTTATTACCAAAAAAAAAAAAAAAAAAAATCAAAAGTACCAAAAAATGAAAAGAATTTTTTAAAGATTCTTTTTTATTTTCTTAGCCTGTGTTGACTCTGGTTTTATGATTCTCCTATTCCTGCCACAAACTTTTCAACTGGTTTACAAACTTTTGGCCCCTGCTTTGCCACAGAGACAGGCCTCCACATCCTAAGTAAGCCCTGAACACCACCTGAACAAGGATTTTCTGCCTGTATCTGGGCCTCTTTTTCTTTCTCATAAAAACACTTTATCTTTGCTGTTTCTAACTCTGGCCCTTGGGCTCTTACCTCCCAGCTCCCTGCAGAGTTGAAATCCCCATTAAAGTCTGTATTTAAAGGCTGCAGAGATGTGAATGTTAGCACACCTGGAGGCCGCCTGTCCACCATCCCTGTCCACAGCCTTTCCTGTTTAACCCTGATGAACTGAATGGCCCTTTTCCTTGAGGTTCCTCTTCTACAGGTTCTTGGCATTTCTTCCACACTCTCTCCCCTTCTATCCATGCTAGTGGATCCAATTTTCACCTCAGCTCACTCAACTCCCAAATCTTCCAGTTGTAGTTATCTCTGAATCACCAGCCCCATTTTCCATTCACTCTGCAAACAAATGTGCCCAAGAGTCCACTGTGTGCTGCTGCACTGTCACTTTAGCTGAGGGGAGTTCAATGGAGGGCCAGTTCTCCCCCACATCTGCTCAGCATCCTGTCTCCCCTCCACTGTTCCCCACACAGCACCCCTCTGCTTCAGCCCATTTCCCAGACCAGGGCCAGGAGCAGTGCTTGGCCTTACCAAGGGTTTTTCCTGCTGGGAAGCTCCAGTTAATTTCATTTGGGCTTCACTTGTAATTGCCTAATAACTGCTCAGAATGTTCTACAACTTTCTGCTTCCTGGAGGGGAGAGGGAAACCCCACTTGCTATTCTGAAATTCAGAGCCTTTTACAGTCCTTCAAAGTTATCTTTCTCTGCCTCCCCTCCTGCAATCTTTACTTAATCTATGTTATTTTACTCATGTCTCCTTCATTTCTTAGTGCTTTGCCCCTGTGCTTTCACCCTGAACATTAGCTGGGCTTTTTCTCTGGTTCCTATCTGTCTGTCAGTGGTCAGCCAAGTTCCTACATCCTCATGGTTTCCCTGGGCACCACCAGACAGGGCCTTCTCCCATCCCTGCACTTGGAATTTTGCTCACATGATTTTACAGCTCGGCGTGGTGCTTGTGACTCGTCCAGCTGTACTGACATGTGTCCTCTTCACCCAGCGTATAAGGCCACAAAGGGTGGAGGGTGTGTGTTGGCTGTACCTAGGGCAAAGAAGTGCATTTGTGGCCTAGAGGAAACCCTTCTTTGGGACTTCTGGTGGTGTTTCCATGCCCCTACAGTGGGTGGAGTGGGATCAGCAGCATTCCTTAGCTGTCCTTTGAGGTTGTGGGACAGGAGAGCTCAAATGCGCGATCATGATGGTACCAGAAGGAAGGGGTACATAGATGTCAGCATGCCCTGCCTGCACCGTACTGGAGCTGCATTGTGGGGCAGAGATTCACAGAAAAGCAATCCCAGAACAGGGGTGGGAGGAAGTGGTGAAGTAGCTGATCTTTCCTTGTCCTTTTTTCTGTGAAATGAGGGCTGGAGCTTCACCTGTAGGCCCAGCTGAAGTAGAAAGGCTTTCTTTTTGCTTACTAATAGGTTTCCCAGCTGAGAAGGCAACCAGGGAGGGTGAGGGTCGGGGTAGACTTCTTCAGGGTTTCCCTTCCTTTAAGAATACACTGAAATCTCTTAAAAATGCTACTTCAGCTACCAGAGTGGGCCTTTCTCCCCTGCCGCAGGCACCCTGAGCTAGCAGGCAGCAAGAGGGTGCTGGTGTGGTTCTGCTGACAGCTCCTGGATCCACAGGCTGCTATACTGTGGGGGACACTGTGCCAGGACCCACTGCTAGGCCTTCTTCTCTCTCCCCTATTGGTAAAGGATTTTCATCCTCTATCCAGTGTTGACTGTGAACAGGACAAATCTTTCCACCTGAACAAATTCTTCCTGCTGATATGGAGAATTGAGTGGCAGCACAAGGGCTGTTTTTGGGTCCGCACAGAGTTGTGATTTCCATGGTATGTTTTCCCCCTGACACAATGAGATAAGAGCCATGCTGGAGCCTTTTGCTCTGCCACAGTTCTGTGGGTCTGTAAGGACGCTGCTTGGGGAGCAGTGTGTGGGTCAGGAAGCAGGGAGCAGTGGACACGGGCCTCAGCAGCTCCTCAGGATGGGGGTATGTACCTGAGGCCCAATGGAGCAGATCTAGTCCTAGAGCCAGCCACAGGGCCTCCCCTTCTGGCAGCCTCCCAGCTCTTGACTCCTCTCACAGGGCCCTGAGTGTGCAGAGCCCAGCAGTTAAGGGTTGCACCCAGTCCACAGATGTTGTTGTGCATCTGCCCTTCTCACAAGGGCCAGGCTTCATGTGGGAGGGTACTTTCTCTTCTTTTTCCTGACCCCACCCTGTTGCTCTGTGGACCAGGCAGGACACAGAATAAGAGTCTGACACAAATCCAGTGTTTGATGGCTATCTGAGCACCTTGGGTTTGCAGAGAGCTTGCTGCAGGCACAGTCCCAGAAAGGCACTGCTTCCTGTCCCATAGTCCTGTCGAGGCCCTGGGGTGGGAAGCAGTGCTCTGACTGCCAGCCAGTGTCTCTACCAGGGCCCTCTGGCATAGCTGCACTCCTGCAGGCCCCAAACATTCCATAGCCCATCTGGGCATGGCTCTTGTGATTGGGTAGCAATGGGGCCTCTGGCTCCAGCATAGCCCAAGAAGGTCTGGAGTGACAGCTATGTGGAGCCCAGCTACCAAGCCACACAGCTCTAGGCCAGAGCCTGGCTTTGCTGGCTGTGTTACTTTGACCAAAACATTGATGTTCTTGAACCTCAACTTTCTTGTCTTTAACATGGGGTTGGTAACAGCTTCTCATAGTTTTTGGCATGTTTTCTAACTTACAGTGCATGTTTAGTCAATGCTAGTTTCTTTTCCCAGGCTCATCTGTCATTTCCTTTCCTCTCACTCTGCAAGCCCAGAGTGCTCAGCCTGCTCTCCTTTCTTATAATCATACTAGACTGTGACATCTTGCTCTTATGCTCACTGAGGTGTCAGTAAAGAATGGGGGAGGAGCATTGGGGAGAAGCATTTTGTCTGTGCTGCTGTGGAAATGACACGTCTTTGGACCAGGTAGACCATGGCTTGGCTCTTGGGCTTTTCATTGACTGGCATGTGACTTAGACAAGTTGTTTTACTTCTCATAGGTTTGTTTTTCTCATTTGCAAAGTGGAGATAACTAACAATGCCTGTCTTGCCAGAATGGCTTAAATATTAATTGATAATGCGCAGAATGGGCATGAACTGGCTCAGGCTAGTAGAAGTTATATTAGGTCTGAGCCCGTGGCCTGATCTGCAAGGGTTTGGTGGGCAGGTTCTGTCTCTCAAGGTGCTCTCTGCTCCTTTTTAATTTACCAGAACACCCAAAGCTGGCAGTCCACTGCTGGCAGCTCCCTCTTTCTCATTCCCATTGACTTGAGTCCCTCTTACTCTGTCCCTAGAGGCAGGAAGTTCGCTGGCCCTATATGTTTCCAGAGCTCCTCCACTGAGAGGCTGAGACAGCGGGCGTGTGGCCCATAGACTCCTGTGTCCTTGGAAGGAGCCAGGATAGCTTGACCCTGGGCCAAGAGAGGGCTTTGGCCAGAGGACACTTGTTGGTACCCAGACTCCTTTGAAAGAGCAGTAGAGGAGTCCTGTGGGTCATAGAGGGGAAACTCTATAAACGCCAAAGTCTTCGAGTAGCGCTGATTGTGGTCACAAGTAGGAATAGTTTATGCCTCATTCCCAGTCATCCCAGAGCACTGAGCAACTATTCAAATATCAGCATGTGTTAGATTAACTTTCTTGAAGGTCTTTTGAAGATGAGAGGGCCCCCTTATTTCCTGGGAGCCCTGCCTGCTTCTGTGCCTAGCAGTGATGCATCCTCAACTCAGGACAGGGCCTCACAATGTCTCCTCCTGCTCTTCTGACCAACAGGTGACAGTTCAGTACATGCAGGACAATGGTGCAGTCATCCCTGTGCGCATCCACACCATTGTCATCTCCGTACAGCACAATGAAGACATAACACTGGAGGATATGCGCAAGGCCCTGAAGGAGCAAGTGATCAAGGCCGTGGTGCCGGCCAAGTACCTGGATGAAGACACCATTTACCATCTACAACCCAGTGGGCGGTTTGTCATTGGTGGTCCCCAGGTGCGCCCTGGTCTCTGAATGAGGCGCTGATTCCCCAAGCACAGAGACTGTAGGAGGGGTCTTTGCGTGACTCAGCCAGGTTTGGCCTTGGACAAAATGTGAAGTCAACTTATTCTGTGAGGCTTATTGTGTATTGGAGACATGTCTCCAGGATTCTCCCACTGGTGCTGTCTGTCCCCTCTACTCCAGACATCCCACACTTGATGTCATACCTGTTCAAGCAGCTGTTGCCTCACCTGTTAATGTGCCAACTTACTATTGCAAACGACTGACTTTTACCAGGTGGTGCTTACCAGGTCTTTGCTACAGGTAACCTCCAACTATGGGCAGCAAGGTGGGGCAGTTTATTACATGCGAACACCTGCTGCCCCCTTCCTCCTGTCCCACAGGAGTGAGAAAGTAGAGATTGGCATAGCACCTCTGTGAGGCTGCTGACCTCTGCCAGGGACCTCAGTGGTGAATGTGTTGCCAGAGAGCAGAACCCTCATAACAGGTCCTATGACCAAATGTAGTGCAGACACACACATTGAAAGAAAGGTCAAGTTTATTGTATTTTCTGCAGGACCTCTCAAAGGCTAGAAATATGAGTGTGAATGATAGATCTCTAAGCAGGGGTGTGTAGAATGCACTTTTCTCAAATCATTTAACATAGAGCCTCTGCTGCCTTTTAAAACATCTTTATTGACTGGTATTGCACAGATCAGACACATGAGGAAAAGAACAATGTGCCATTTACTGGGTGGCACCAGCGAAGGGCACAGCCGAGAGTGTGTTGATTACAGCACAGTTTCCTCCTGCAGCTGCATTTCTCCACTATGATTGACTCATAAAAACAAAGGTGTTGGGAACTGGCCATGACCCCAGCTGGCTCATCATTTGTACTTTCTGATGAGGCTCTGACAGCTCACTTGACTTCCATAGCTGGTCGGTGACTGACCTGGAATTAAAGTCAGGGATTCTGGCTGAGTCCTAGCCAGAGTCTTGGAAACATGCCCCCAGGCCCGCTGCACGGTACCCTTTCCAAGTTGTAGTCCAGCAGCCTTCACAGTGCTCCAGAACACTTCCTCCCTGTCCAGTCATTAAGGGGCTCTGGTTCTTACCTCCCCCCTGTTTCTTCCTTTCCCTCTGCAGGGGGATGCAGGCGTCACTGGCCGTAAGATTATCGTGGACACCTATGGCGGCTGGGGGGCACATGGTGGTGGGGCCTTCTCCGGGAAGGACTACACCAAGGTGGACCGCTCTGCGGCTTATGCTGCCCGCTGGGTGGCCAAGTCCCTGGTGAAGGCAGGGCTCTGCCGGAGAGTGCTTGTGCAGGTGGGTAAGACCCCACGCCACTCTGACCCCACCAGCCCTGATGGGAAGCCCACTTACTTTGCCAAAGGATGTAACTCTGTGTGTGTCTCATTGGGCATTGTAGTCAGTATCCTGAAAATGTGGAATAGGGGAGAAACCTTCAGGGAGACAGCCACGTTCAGAAACTGCTCACCGTGAAGACGGCAGTGATTTCTAGGCAGACAGGTGGGGGGAACCTGTTGGGCAAGAGATGCACGGTGTGTGGTTCTAACTGCCCTTCCCGAGGACAGGAAAGTTTCTATGAGAGGCATACCCCTGCTCAGAGGCTTTGGTCCCTGACCCTGGTCTCTTCTGAAAGGTTTCCTATGCCATTGGGGTGGCTGCGCCACTATCCATTTCCATCTTCACCTATGGAACCTCTCAGAAGACAGAGAAAGAGCTGCTAGATGTGGTTAATAAGAACTTTGACCTTCGGCCTGGAGTCATCGTAAGGTAAATATGCTGCCTTGTACTTGTAGGCAGGACATGCTCAGCTCATCTGAAAGGGATACAAGCAGGAGGGTCTTCAAGTTCTTGGCCCAGCGCAATGCTCACCCCAAATGCAGGTGTCTGGTATTCAAGTAGAGGGGGCTGTGTAAGATCCTCACTAGCCCAGCAGATGCTAACTCCAGGTGGGAGGTCTTAGGAAAATAATTATAAGGCTGAGTGGCTAAGAATTCAGCCAGTAAGTCTAGTCTGGTTTAATTTCTAACACCATCCCTGCTTTCTGGAGCTTGCTGACTTGATGTTGGTCTGGGCCAGGTCAGTGGGATACAGAGGAAAAAGGCATCATGAGGCTAGCGTGCAATTCTGGTTCCTGACTGGGCTTTCCCTGAACCTCTGAGCCTGCTTCCCAAGGGCCAGTCACCCCACAAATCATGGTATAGTGTAAACAAGAAATTTATGGGAAATTGCTCTGTGAGTGCAATAGGCTGTTACTCCTGTGCCTGAAATTCAGAGAAGGAAACTGCTTTTTTCCCATTGAAAATGACCCTTTCTTCTGCTGGACACACAGGGATTTAGATTTGAAGAAGCCCATCTACCAGAAGACTGCATGCTATGGCCATTTTGGAAGAAGCGAATTCCCGTGGGAAGTTCCCAAAAAGCTTGTGTTTTAGAGTGAGGAGCTGGGTCTGGCCTTACCCTGGAGGCATCTGGGCACCACATTCGTCTGCTCCAGGATCCCAACTCTCAGCTCTCCCAGACCAAAGGCTGCTGAGTGTGGTCAAGAGAGAGTCCTCCCCGCCCCTCCAGCCCTGCCCCACTGCTCCCTCCTGGGCAAGGCCTGCACCCTTTCATTTAGCCCTATCCTGTCATCATCATGAATGGCAGGAAGCGGGCAGCTTCCTGGTGCTGAGGGTCTGATCTCCTCGTGAGGAGAGCCACAATGTTCCCCTACCTCTCCCTCAGACAAGGTGATGTTAACGTTACAGAAAAACCTACCAGGAGTAAGTCCCCTCTCCTCCCCAACAGCCTGGACCCAGACCAGGTCCTGCATCACCTGGCATGTGCCCAGTTGAGTGCATCTCACAGATCTCCTGGGAGAGCCTTGAACCAGACCCTTCACAAAGAGCCTCCCAGGCCAGGCTTCTGGCTGGCATAAGAACAGGAGCTGCCATGGGCTAAGTACCCACAATGAGGAAGGGTCTGAGCTAACCACCGATGGTATTTCTTCTTCACTGCAACATGATAAGGTATCACCTTTGTTATCCCTGTTTATAAATGGGGAAATGAAGCACAGACCACGTAGGTAACTTTCACAAGTCCTCACAGCCACATGTGTCAGGGCCTAGACATGAATCTAGATTTGACCTAGGAGTCTGGACCCCACCTGACCCCCCAATCTCATGCCAGAAACAGGACTGAGTAATGACAAATCAGACTGAGGTGAGGCTTTGTCCTCTGTCCTAAAGACCTGAGGTCGCTGGGAATTAGGGGATTAACTCACTGGCTCTTGGTAAGCCCTGAGCAATGATCTGAAAATTCAGGAGAGAAACAAAGGACTGTTCATTTGCCTCATTTATATCAAAAGACAGTTCAGGGTGAACTGGATGGGCTGGAGTTTGTAATTAAGAAGGAAACACATAACCCCAGCTATTGACCACTTACGCATATGAAGGGCTGGACCTCTGGGGTAAATGATTCAAGTCTCGTCCAGTCCCACCTGGGCTTCCTGGAGTAGGAGAAGTAGCTCATTGTAGCACAGGTGGCCAGCCCCTTTAACAAGGTTCTGGAATCCTGTGTCCTTTATGTCTTTCTCTCTCTCTCTGGCTCTTTTGTAGCCCTGCAAACTCAGTGCTATTAGAATAAGTAGGTGAGCTCCTCAGATCCTCCTGCCAGAGAAGCCAGTTCTAAGACCAAGATATCTAATGTTCAATGGTGCCCTAGAGGGCAGGGCTTGAATTTTAGTGATAGAGGAGTTGGCTGAGATGTCACAGAAGATCCTGCTTTTGCCACGTAGCTTCTGGCTCTACTTCTGAGGGACCTGAAGTGTCCTCAGCGTGACAACGTCTTGGTGCTGTATGTTCACCTGTCTTTCCATCCATGGCCACCCACCATAGCTGTCCTATGCCTGGGAAGCATCTCTACCTTCTTCCCAGCTCCCCAGACCACAGGTTCAGGTAGGGGCCTCCATGGGCCTCACGAGAGCACTGAGGACCGGGCTTCTTTCCAAGGCAAATGGTGCTGGTTCTGGCTGTGACTGACAGCCCAAGATGCCTCATGTGGGAGCAGACATCCTGTTTCTGGGCTCTAGGCTTGAAACACAAGGACCTTTGGGTATCTCATTCCATTAGGGGAAAGGCAGCTCCAGGAGAGGAAAAAGAAACCTAAATTACTATAAAAACTTAGAGCTTGTGTGACACAGGATGCTCTGATCTTTCCAGTTACCCAGAAGTCTCTGGTTCTTTTCAGGAGAAGGAAGCACAGCTTTGAAGGTGGCTGAGTTCCCTTAACTCAGGTTATATTTGAAGTGAAAATTCTATATTTTCCCCACCCCCTAGATAAATAAGATCTTTTTTTCTGTCAACATTGTTTATATAGAGAGCCTTTATTGTTTCTTGCTAGGACAGTGAATAAAGACCCATGGAGCAACTCTCTATGCTTAGTTGTTTTTGTCTTCAACCCTCTGAAACCTCCCCTTCAAGTGGCATCCCCTGGTTCCCCCAATCCTTGACCAAGTGGGTGTCCTCCCCTTAGTGGTCCCTCAAACAGGAGTTTTTGGTTCCTGACCACATGGGACCCACCCAGCTTTGATTGAGTTTTCTCATGCACCAGCTACTGTGCTGTCACTACATTACCATCGTCATTCCATGCCGCATGCCACTGAGACAGACAGTCCTAGGAAATCCATGTAATGTGTGGAGAACCTGAAGCTCAAAGAGGGTCAGGAAGGTGACCAAGGGCACCTGGCTGCCAGGTGGCTCCTCAGTCATCAAAGGGTGCACTCTTGATCACCATGTGTTGCTGCCCTTAGTCCATGTCCATGGTTCATTCTCCTGCCCCTTCCTGCATGTGATAAGTGGTAAGTCTGGAATGAGGTGGGCACTCAGGCAATATTTGTTGAATGGTTGAATTAGTGCAGTGGATGAGGGGTTTAGTCTGCAGAGAGATGAGCCAAGCTTGTAAGTGGGTGTTCAGTTCTTTTTCATAAATCCTGTGAGGAGAATTAACAGATGATTACTTTTGTTAGAAATTGTCACTGAAGTAGCTTCTGGAGGTGTGGTCCTGAGGGCCTGGACTGAGCATGTGGGGAGGTGGGACCTACACTCTTTCTTACAAGCACACAGTGGGGAGAGGAGTCACCTCTGGAGAACTGTCATGGTTCAGGCTGAGGGCAAGGCCTGGGGAGGAGATCCTGATGTGAGGAAAGCTGATCCAGAGTACCAGGAAGGACGGATGTGCAGAAGAGACCTCAAATGTGGAAAAGAGGAGGAGAAAGCCAAAGTAAGGAGGGTTCATCAGTCTTGTTTGAGACAGGATCTGTGCCTTGAGAAGTCACTGCATGGGCTATGTGGTGAAATATTTTTTTCCTAGGAAATAATACATATTTTTCAAGCATACATACAAACAAAAAACCTCACATGAAATACACTGGGGACTTCCAGCCAAGATGGAGGCATAGGTAGATATACTTTGCTTCCTTGCACAAGCAAATGAAGAATAACAACCAATTTTAAAGCAAAAAGAACAACCAGAACTGCCAGAAAATTGAACTGCATGGAATTCCGATAACCAAGGAGTTAAAGAAATATTCATCCAGACTGCTAGGAGAGGTAGAGATGGAAAGTTGGGCCGAAGGACACAAAACAAGGCTGCAGCTGGCAAATCAAGATATCCCACATTCATGTGTACATAAAAACTGGGAGGAGCAACTTGGGAGCAAGGCAGACCACAAAACCCAGGCTCCCAGCATGGGAAAGTAAACACTCAAAACCTTTGGCTGAAAGATCTGTGGGAATTGCAGTAGCAGGAGAAACTCCCAGTCTCACAGTAGAGTCAGTTGGAGGGGCCTACAAGATCCTAGAATGTACAAAAGCACACCCACCTGGGAATCAGCATCTGAAAGGGTACAATCCACTTGTGGGAAGTGAGGGAAGTAACTGAAAGTGGGGAGAGAGCCAAGGGCATTGGCTCCTTCCCCAAATACAGTGCCATAATGCTGGGAAGTGCTTCCCCCACTCTGGTAAATATCCAAGGCTCCACCCCTGGCAATATAACAGGTGCACCAAGACAAAGAAATATGGCCCAAATGAAAGAACAGATCAAACCTCCCCAAAAATATAGCTAAGTGACAAAGAGGTAATCTATCAGATGCAGAGTTCAAAACACGGGTAATCAGGATGCTCACAGAAATGATTGAGTACAGACACAAAATACAGAAAGAAGTAAAGGCTATACAAAGTGAAAGAAAGGAAAACATACAGAGAACCAACAGTGAAGAGAACTGGGGCTCAGATCAAAGATTTGAAACACAAGGAAACAACAAACGGTCAACCGGAAGAGAATGAATAAACAAGAATTCAAAAAAATGAGAAGCTTAGGAACCTCTGGGACAACTTTAAACATTCCAACATCTGAATCTTAGAAGTGCCAGAAAGAGAAGAGGAAGAGCAAGAAATTGAAAACATATTTGAAAAAAAACTTCTCCAATCTGGTGAAGGAAGTAGACATGTAAATCCAGGAAGCTCAGAGAGTCCCAAAGAAGTTGGATCCAAGGAGAAACACACCAGGGCACATCATAATTAAATTACCCAAGATTGAACCTTAAAAGCAGCAAGAGAAATGGAGACAGTTACCTACAGAGGAGTTCCCATAAGGCTATCAGCTGATTTCTCAAAAGAAACCTTGCAGGCAAAAAGGGGCTGGCAAGATGCATTCAAAGTCATGAAAGACAAGGACCTGCTTCCAAGAGTACTCTATCCAGCAAAGCTATCATTTAGAATGGAAGGGCAGACAATGTGCTTCCCAGATAAGGTCAAGTTAAAGGAGTCCTTTATCACCAAGCCTTTATTATGTGAAATATTAAAGAGATTTATCTAAGAAAAAGATCAAAACTATGACCAGTAAAATGTCAACAAACTCTCAACTATCAACAACTGAACCTAAAAACAAATTAAAATAAAAACAAACTAAGCAAACAACTAGAACAGGAACAGAATCACAGAAATTAAGATCATATGGAGGGTTATCAGTAGGAAGGGGGATAGGGGAGAATGGCAGAATTGGTACAGGAAATAAGAAGCACAAAATATACAGGGAGGTTTAGAATAGTATAGGAAATGGAGAATCCAAAGAACTTATATATATGACCCATAGACATGAACTAAGGTGGGGGGTGAATGCTGGAGGGAGTGGGATACAGGACCAAAGGGGATAAAGGGGAGAAAAAAATGGGACAACTGTAATAGCATAATGAATAAAATATACTTAAAAAAAAACTCCAATACATTAGAATGTTTGTCTGTGGGAGAATGTGGTAAATAAATGGACTCCACAGTTATAAAGGCCAAATAATTAGTGAAAGCAAGTTTTGAGCCATGAAACCTCAATTGTCAAGATAGAGAGGATCCAGAGGGGTAGGAGGAAAACCAGGAGAGTGGGGGTGTCCTTGGAAGCCAGGTGAAGACATTGTTTCTAGGATGAGGGAGGGGTCATCAGTATGAAATGGTACTGATGAGTTAGATGTATGAGACCTCAGAATGTCTATTGACTTTTACCTTGTGGATGTCATTGAGGACCTGGGAAAGGGTAAAGTAATTAAGATAATGTAAATATGGCCATAGTCCCCACCCCAATTTTAATCCTTTAGTGTCTCTGATACATTCTGAATAAAGGTCGAGAGGCATCACTTAGCTGTGGCAGCCCCTTGTCCCTGTCCATTGCCCATCAGTTTACCCTCATTCTGGGCTTCGTTCCCCATCCCCATTTCAGACTCCCTGTCTTTTTTGGCTTTACCAAACAGGCGCAGCTATTCCTGCCTCAGGGCCTTTGCATATGCCATTCACTCTGTGATATTCTTCTCTCTTTGAATGGATGTTCAGGCTCATCCTATAGACTTCAGACAAAATTTCTACATTTCTGAAAAGCTCCTTTTTGATAAGCTCCCTTTTCTATTCCATTCCATTTTTAGTTTCTTGTTCAGTGTTTAAAACAATGTATAAATATGTGTTTCCTTGCTTAACCTCCTTTGGGGGCCATCCCCCTCATGACTTCTTCCACACCTATGCACCCTACCTTCTCTTCACAGGGTATTCCTCTGAATCCTTTTAGACTCAGCTTGTGAGTCACTCTGCAGAAAGACGCTCCCAAACATCCTATATAAATTATGCCTAACATCATCTCTATCTGGTACTGGGCTATCAAAGGCCATAATTCTTTTTTTTTTAAATCTAAATTTCATGGTTAGAAGCTTTTCCTTGGAGATCAAAAGTAATATAAAAATACTTTGTATTGCTACTTCTCTTCAAATCTACTGGAAATGCCATCCGGTGCAAAAAGACAGGAAAAGAAGACACAGATTGAATAGGGAAAAACAAAAGTATCATTTAAACATAACATGATTAGATACAAAAAAAATCCAGAAGAATCTAACTCATTATAATTAATAAATAACTTTAGCAAGTCTCTGGGATGTAAGGTAAATATTTGAAAATCAATTGTATGTTTATATATCTGCAATAAACAGCTAGAAAATGAATAAAAATATATCACTTATTATGTCAAAGACAGTAATTATTTTCTTTTTTTTTAAGGCTAAGAAACTCAAGTAATTGTTGTCTTGGATATACTTTTGGCAAAGGTAACATAGTTCTGTTAGCGGTATATTTGTCGATTAAATCATTCAGCAAGTAGTCACTATGCATATAATATAACCATAGTTAATGCAATAAGCTCTTCATCCCCCACAAAGAGGAAGAAACTGTTCTCTGCTTCCCAAGAAGAGTTTGAAGAGAAGCATTGTAACTGACCCATGATCTCTTCTACAAACCACAGTGTAGTAGGAATTCAAACTAGTAGTGCCGGTTTTTCTTGTTTTTAATTGTTCAAATCCATTTGTCTCCATTTTCCCTCCACCACTTACCCTTGCCCCACTGATGCTCACCTCCCACCCACAATCCTTCCCCACATTGGCTTTGTCCATAGGTGTACATACACATGCCTTGACTTGATCCTTCCCCTTTTTCCCCCATTACCCTCCTCCTTCCTTCTGGTTACTGTCGGTTTGTTTTTCATTTCAATGTTGCTGGTCATATTTTCCTTGCCTGCTTGCTTTGCTGACTAGGTTCCACTTATAGGTGAGATCATATGGCATTTGTCTTTCACCACCTGGCTTATTTCACTTAGCATAATGCTATCCAGTTCCATCCATGCTATCCCGAAGGGTAGTAGCTCTTTCTTTCTGCTTTGTAGTATTCCATTGTGTAAATGTACCATAAGTTTTTGATCCACTCATTTACCGATGGGCACTTAGGTAGCTTCCAGCACTTGGCTATTGTAAATTGTGCTGCTATGAACATTGGGGTGCATAGGTTCTTTTGAATTGGTGTGTGGGGATTCTTAGGGTATAATCCCAGCAGTGGAATCGCTGGGTCAAAAG